TAAGTTTTTCTTTCTTTCTACTTGTGTTCTTGTTGTTGCTTTTCCTTGCAAAGGTAAATTGACCAATTAGACTTTGATATTTCAGAAACGTTTAGTAATTAAAATCTAAGTACTTCTGATTTAACTGAAATATTTAGTGCTAAAAATACATGCAAAGAAAGTTTAAAAGGCTACACTATGATGAACCTTTGCTACATGCGCTTACATTATGAACAACTTCACAACTCAAAATAAACTTGAACTAGTTGCATACACTATCGTGCTATATTACTTTGCCTTAAATCATATTAAATTTGATTTATTATTGTAATTGATATTGACTACAAATTTGTTATGACTGGGAAATGTGTTTTCTTTCCAATTTTTTATTTCTCTTTTGCTTCAATTGCTATTTTTAATATTTATATATTCACATAATTTCCTATAGTATTGTTTTGACTTATGGAGAAAATTTTGAGATAGGATTTCTTCATCTGTTTTGATTTGTGTTGTCTTCTCCTCTATTGAGATGTTTTTTGTGTTTGGTAGTTTGTGATATAATGGACAAAAGTGGAAAAGATTAAATTAAAATAGTTTCATGTAATATTATATCATTTCATGCTTTTAGAATTAACACATATAATATAAATAGATAGATTGCTGCTATGCTTTCTTACAGGCTAAGAATATTTTGTATAGGTAATGATTTGTTTATATAAATAAATTACCTTTGCTACCATTTTGTTCTTTAATTAGTTTTCATTTTTTATGTTTTAGAAATTGTAAATTTAATTAATAATGTTTGCTGACTATGTACTGCTACCTTTCTTGTAGGCTAAGAACATTTTGTGCAGGTAACTAGTTATTTACATAAACAATTTACCTTTGCTACCATTTTATTTTTTAATTAGTTTTTATTTTTTATGTTTTAGAATTTGTAAATTGAGTTGATAGTGTCTGCTAAACAATGTGTCTAGTGCTAAATATAAATTACATGTGATCTTCTACTTTATTTATTTTTCTTTTATTTAAAGTTAACAGTATCAATTATGAATTCTAATTTAGATTATGTATCATGATTCTGATATGTTACAAATTAGAAATTCTACTAGTAGTGCACCAACATTACAGTATGCACACTAGTCATTTGAATTTTTGGTAATCTACTCACTTTGATTTTATTTTATTTTTATTTATAATTTCTATCAAATATTGCTATGATTTGGTTATATTAAAACTATTTATATTTTGTTATGATAAAAAAAAAATAGGTTGCATGTGTGGATACCACCAAAATATAATTTGTGGATGTGATTTTTAGATAATTTGGTTAATATAGTGGATATGGTTATTAGTCTATCTTTCATTAATAAGGGTATTTTAAATTAGAGTTTTTTGGCATATGTAAGTGAGTTCTACTAAAATTTTTTGTAAATGTTCTTATTGGATAATTTAATTATATATAGTGGGTAAGTAAAACTAATGTTTTATATTTCATTAATTAAATTTTTTTAGCAACTTGCTATAGTTTATTATTATCAATTTTAGACCATTTTTTTAATTTTAATTTAGATTTTGGCATGCATCCAATTTTTTTTACTATAAATTTTATTCCTAGTTTTATTTTTTTAGTTAAATAAAAAAACCATATATAATAATAATTTAAAACTAACCCAATATTAATTACTATTATAAATATTTTTTTAATAAAATAAATTTTTATTCCTAAATCTTTAATAAAATTCAGTATAAGGCTTAAGTGAAAGAAACAGTTTTTTGACAACAATAATTTTTATTGAATTTTTTAATTAGACTTGACTAATTTATTGAGTTATTTGATAGGTCCAAATCTGAACTTTTTAAAAAAAAATTAAGACAAAATTAGACTTCTTTTTATTTGATTCAATTAGTAGTAATTACTTAATTTTAGGCCTGAATCCACCCATAATCGATTGTTGATCACTCTAGAACTGAGCTACATGTCTGTCCCTACATCTATTGCTTTGGTCATCTCACATTTATCTTTTCAATTGCAAATGTCATGGAACATGGCATTTTGGTAAGATTTTTGGGTTTGTCCAACGACTTAAGATTTGAAGTTGTTGGTACCTTCCTTTATATATATATATTAAAAATATATTAAATTATTTTTTTATTTCAGTAATATTTATAAATAAATAAATAGAATATTTTTTATGTTTCAATATTTTCTTTAAGTTTATTTTATTATTTATTTTACTTTTACTAGTAAATTATAATAGTGATAATAGTTTAAAATAAAGGCAAATAGACTCCCTAATGTTATTATTATTATAAAAAATATATCAGTTTTTATTTTTTTAGATAATAATAAATAAATAAATAAATTTGTGTTAATGATAGTGATAAAGTGAATAAAGGAAAATAAAAAATATTATCTGTATCATAATATTTATTTTTTTATTATTATTTTTTATTAATATTAATGTCTTCCTTATTTTTTTATTAAATTAATGTAGACTTATTTTATTGTTCTATTATTTCATGATTAATAAATTAATTTTATTGTAAATTTTATAATAAAATATAATAAATAAATGCATAGAATTATTACAATAATTTATAATGCTATTGTGTAGTGATTATACCTTTATGCGTTATAAAATTGTTAAAATTTATGTGTATTAACGTTACTTTAGATTTTATATACTATTAATATATTTTAAAAATTTTGATTTTTAAAATTAATCAATTATATATTTTTTTATTTAATTAATTAAAGTTCATCATTTAGAACATTTTAATCATATTAATATAACGATTTATAATATTATTGTGTAGCGTCTATATCTTTATACACTTTAATCTCAATATATGTTTTAACTATTTGCAATATAGTTGAATAATCTCTTTCACCTTCTATATGTTTTTATCGTAAGATGTATGTATAACTGCGTTATATAATATCTTAAATATTATAATTTTATGAAAATAATTTTAATTTTAAAATAAACTTTCTTTTATTAAATTTAATTTTAATTAATCAACTTAAAATTTTTTAGTTAGAACTATATGACCTTGAGTTATAATTATACACGAGATATATAATATATAAGAGAGAAAAACTAGATTCGTTAAGTCAAAATAATTTTTAAAATATTTTTTTCTAAAATATCATTTAATATTTTAAGAAATAAATTTTTCTTCCTTTAAAAATAGTAACACTCATTATTTAAGGGTTAAATTAAAATAAATTTATACAATTAAAATCGGTTGCAATGTTGAAAAATTATTAATAATTAATACAAATATAAAAAATATTGATCTAAAGTTTCTCTCAAGTTTAACTAAGAAGATGAATGCAATAAAATTTATTATCAGTAGATATAAAGGGACTAATGGAAAATGAGATAACATAACAAGAACTTTACTACCAAAAAGAAGTCCAAGAAAGGTTATAGTTTTTGGGTCACATGGTGTGCTTCGATCATGGATCCCCCTTTGTTGCCGCTTTCATTGATTTGAATTTCCAGATTTTGTCTCCATTTTCATCCAATTAATAAAGACCTCACTAGCAATTAAGCTACTCAGCCTTTTAGCCAATGAAGAAAAAAGGAATCAGCAAATGTTGATGTTTTATCCAAGCAACCACCAACACCATGCAGCTAAGGTTTGCATGGCCTCTATCTTGCAAGTTAACATGGGCACAGCGTATAGGGTGTTGAGATATTTGATTTTACGATTGGTGTTAGCCGTGTCAAAATAGTGTCCTCTCACTTCTTGCTGGTAAGGGATGCTGTTGACAATATTTGATATTTGTGATGTCTTGTTTTCGTACACATTAGGGTAGGCAACCCGGCAATTGATAATCTGACAAAGGAAAATAATTCCTTATCATCCATTAAGAGCCTTTTGTTTAAGATTATTTTCATGAAAAAAAATTGTTTTTCAAAAAGTATTTACTTTTAAAAATCTATGATAGTTTGGTTAGGATTATGAAAAAAATCAGAACATAAAAAAAATCTTATTTTAACTTTTTTAGGTAACCTATATATTGAATAGTAGTTTTTATAATTATAACTAAATGTAATTAACGTTTAATTTTAATAAAAATCTTTTAAAATATCCTCCTTTTTTTATTCAAAGCTAAAACAAACTGCAGGTTCTAAATTAGAGTGAAATGGGCGATCGAAGGCAAGTGATAAAAAAGAAAAAAAAAATATAATAAATGATATGATATGAAAAAAGAGAAAAAAAAAGTATAAAAATATAATAGGTGTCCAGAATATTTACCACGACAACTCTTGTGATCGCTTTATTTTGAGGACATGTTCTCCTTCATCTCGATTCCGCAGCAGGATGTGGCCGGAGCTTGTTGGCCAATATAGTTTGCTAGGGCTTTGTAATTATTTTATACATAATGATAAATTAATAGATGTAGTAATGATTAATTGTTTAATGAAAAAATGTTAAAATTATTTTTCTTTACGATTTTTTCAAATGTTAATATAATCATTTAATTGAAAAGTTTACAAAAATACATTAAATTTATAGAAATTTATATAACTCAAAATTTAAATAACTTTTATTAAGTAGGTTTACTTTAAAGTGTAACATAATTTTAAAAAATATATAAATATTAATTAAAAATTATATATTTAAAAATATTTATAGTTAATATACATTATGTTGATATGACATGGCATAATTCGCTGCTTCATTGAGGAATATAATAATTTTTAAATATAAATATTAACTATAAAATCATACAATTATAAATATTTAATTTATCTAAAATTTAATATGTATGATCAGTGGTTAATATTTTATAATTTAACAATTTGTTAAATTTATATTTTATAAAATTATTAAGTAAAAAAAACTTTATCAGTAGTTATTCTTAAAGTATCTTAACCCTTGCCATAATAACAATTATAACAGCTTTTCCCCCATCTCACCTTAAAAAATGATTTCACGTTCTGAAATTATTTGCGGGCTCAATAGTTTGCTTTAAAAAAAAGATTATGTTAGAAAATAATTGGAATCACGAAAAAAAGCTCATTCATAAATGTCACAAAGAATCATCTGTATATATAACTGCCATTCACTGCATCACCAAGCATAATAAACAGTTTGAAAACATTTATTGCCAATTTTCAGCAAATACGTGCTGTCTGAAAAAAGACAACGAACACTAAAAATTTCAACTACTCCGTTTGTGTGCATGTGTCCCTGATTTTTTTGTTTTCAATGATCTAGTGCCTGCCAAATAAATTAGTAGATAGGAGTAGTAAGCAGCATAATCTTCTATTGCTGGTAAATAAATATGTAAATATAAAGCCGAAGAGATCGGAAACTGCTTCACACAATACATCAATAAGAAAAACTTTCAGCGCTATCGTGTAACTTATTTTGCTTTTAATAATTTGAACAAAATGCTTAACATGAGGCCTCACTACATCAAACATTTAGAAGTGGAACTATGAAGACATTATGAAAATAAAATGTGGAGAAAGCTAAAGAAAATCATAAACCGATAAGTACTTAATGCATTTTCTTTGGGTAAAATAAGGTACATTAACACTATGAATTATTATTAATTAATAATTTAGAACACTAAAGTCTTTTAATAGCATGTCAATGTGGAAAAAGCAAAGAACAGGGTAAATGTACGGGCATGCATGTCAAACAATTGAAGCAAACGCCACCTATATATTCATGATTAAACGACAATAAGCACATGAAAAGCTCATAGCATATGAAAAAGTTCATACCGGTCCCTTTTGTTTCATTATTAAACTTACCATTGCATTTCTCATTTTGTTTATGTTGGAATTGGTCACATAGTATAACTACTTTTTCAAATTAAAACCTTTTGATGAAGCCTTGTATCTTTAGGACATAGCCACCGATTTATGTTTTGTAGAAGCTACGTGTTTTCTTTACCAGTTTTCTAGAGTTTAGAGCATTTATATTTCTACATGCTAGCTAGAAGAAATGAGGACACAATGAAAATATTAAAAAGGATATCTTTTCTTTTTTTGCTTTAACTTATTTTTTTTATTTAGTTATATAATTAAACATGATAAGTTTATTCTATAACTTTATCTTAACATAATTTTATTTCTAATTTGACCTTTTTAAAAGTCTGATTTATTTTGTTAAATTTTGTAATGACCTATGTATCAAATTTTTTAATAAATTATTAAGTCTTTTTATAAATAAAATATCAAAAAATTATATAAACAAGTATATCTCTTTAAAGACCAAGACTTATATCTAAATAAGTCATTAAAAAAGTTTAACATCTTAAATATTTGTAATAAAATTACATATTTCTATTTATCATATTTAAACTATATCACTCTCTTTTCTTTCAAAGGATACATAGGTGATACTCTTCAACTCCAATAAAAATGATTAAAAATTTTAATTCAATATTTTATTCATTTTAAAATTTAATTTATTTGATATAATATTATATTATAATTTTATGTACAATTATTTAATATATTACTATAAATTTTATGAGTCTTATATATGCTATTTTATTAGACCTAATAAACTTTTTTTAAGTTTTGATCTATTTAATTAATTAAATCTTTTAAAAAATTAAAATTAAGCATATTATTTAAATAGGTCAAGCTAACTTAAGTTCTAAAAAAAGTTAGGTTATAAATTTTTGTTGTAAGATTTTACCTATTTCTATTCCTACTTGTAGAGGAGAGTTTGAGTTAAAAATAGGCTAATATAATAATAAAATATATTTAATTTATTATTTTAATATTTATCATTTTATCACTTCATGCTTTTATTCAATTTATATATCCTATTATTTTTCATCTTAACTAAAGAGATACAAAATACAATAAAATAATTTAAAAAAATAAATTATTAAAAAAAATCTAGAAAATAAGAGGATTAAGAAGGCTACATGTAAAAAAAAGTTAAAATAACTCAATAAAATTTTGAGAAATTATATAAAATATATTAAAAAATCTAAAAAAAACTTTAAAGAAAGGACGTTAAAACTTTACTTTGTAGCAAACTTTTTATTATTGACTAAAATTTATTTAAATTTATAAAATTTATACAAGTCTTAACTTTTAAATTAATATTTATTTCTCGTATTTTTTAGTTTTTAATTAATTTTATTTAATAATAAAGAGTGTGTTATTAATATTTAAAAAAAAAATAATATTCATAACCTAAGAAAATTGAAGAGAAAAAATATTTTTATAATAAAAGGAAAAATCTTTCCCGGTGATCGCCCCTATATTCCAATCACATACAAGTTCTCATTTATCATGCAAGTTTGATTAGGAATGAAACAATTGACATATGAAATTGGATATACTTCTAAATCAAACAATTAAAAGGGATCGTGGGAAATTTTGATCTACCATTCTTGCAATTTTAAAACCATACATACAACGGACATTGGGAAACAAAAAAACAACGAGAAATGTATTATAGAAGCACATAAAAGAAAGAATGTTAAATTCTGATATGAGATAGCACAAATAAAATCAAATTATCTGACTGACCTTTTTGTTTCTTATCACGGCAGAAGGTACTTCCACAGCAACATCGAAATGCTTTAATAGGATGGTCATGATCATCAAAGTCAATACCATAATCCTGCAAGAAAATTCACCTGCCTTCAGGAAACTCAAATGACTCAAGATAAACTTTTGATGAGAGCCAAGTGCAAATTAGGTGTGCTGTGCATCAATTATAGGATTACAACACTAGTATTTAGAACGCCTGCAGGATATTATTCCCTCAAAATAGCAGGCTTTGCTTGCATATACATCCCAGGTACTGAAGCGAGAATTTGAAAACTTCAAGGCTTCACCGATATTCATAAATTATCAGCAGCAGTTTTTTTGACTTTCCATATCAACCATGTTTCCGTTTTTTCTTGATGATAACCATGTACCAAACACGTCCATGGACCTTTTTTGGCTGAAAGCTAAGGACTCATAATAGAAAATGATATTTTTTAACACAAATGCACAATCAAAAGCATGCTTTACTTTTCACGAATTAAAAATAATAATTTAGATGTAATGTTTGCAAATAAAATATATAAGAAAAAAGATCCTGCATTGGTCCAACCCGCTTACCCATGTCAACTCCTCGTATGCATTTACATTTCTGTTTGTAAAGAGGGCAAGCTGCAGAGAAGGATCGAAACAAACTATAAATATATGACCAAAAGTTAATTCTCATAATTTTCCATCATTAAGTAAACTAACCAGTCAAAATGGAAATATATGAATATAAAATGAAACAAAATCTAACATGATAATAGTGACGATCAGGAGTCTCCACTTCAACAGGGATGTCTATGAGATTTGCATCAGAGCATCTGAAAAAAAAAAAGAACGCAGAGATCATACTAGAAATCAATAGATGAAAAGATGGAAAGAGAATAAAGAAAAGAGCATCTGTAATGATAAATGAAAGAGAAGGAGAAAAGAAAGTCATGGACTCAGGTGCGAAAACAAAATAAAAGGAGAAATGAGGAGTTCTACGATGGCTAAAAGCAAATCCACAGTTGTCCAATCCTTTTCAATTATGTTATATCTATTGAGCTTGAAATGAGGAGAAAATTTTCTGACTTCTAGCTCCATTATTCAAAAGAAACAGAAAGAAAGTAGAAATAGTTACTGACACTCCCAAACTAAAAAGTGATAGAAAATAAATTGCAGCAGTTTGGTCATAAAGCAGAGTTTTTTTTTTCTTTTCTTTTTCCTCTTTTGTTTTTGGATAACAAAAATTCCAGAAGTGATCAGGCTAGCCCAATTTCAGCCACACGTATCAAATGATTAACGATGCCATAAACTTCTGTTGTAAATTATTTCTATCAACATACTATTTCAGGTCGTAAATCAAGGCTAGCCCATTTTCAGCATCATGATAATCTTACTGGCCTAACTTTGGCTGGAAGTGATTGAGCTAGACAATTTCAGGAAATTCACTGACTCGATTGCATCCTGAATAGTAAATACGGTTGTTGAATATAGAAAAGCACCTATGATTGATAAACCTTGCAACATTTCCATTATATGTTGCATCTAAGCACAGCGCCTCCTCATCCTTCAACACCCCTTCCGATCCCCAGTCTGCATCAAGGGTTACAGGATATGTGTGTCTGTCATTGCCGCTGTTCTGCATTGTTCTGTCATATAATTCTGTATTGGTTAAAATTTCCCCAGCATATTCACATACAAAGCTACCCTTGGGCAAATCTTCTAGGGTTCTGAGGCCCCATCCTTTTCCTTCTCGAGTCAAAAACACCTGAAGAATAAAAGATAACAAGAACCGTCGTATATCAAATACACTAAATGTAGCAACAATAACGGCTTGTACGGATAAAAAAAATATGTAAACAACCATGCGGGCACTTGCTGAGGGTTGTTAGTGAATTGACTGTTGGTGCACTAACAGAAACTAAGTAATGTATCCAGAAAATAAATTGGACGTTGATACAGGATGATTAAATCCAAAAACTTAATTTTTACTCTGATTAGTTTGACCTTTAAATAGTAAAAGATCACATCTGCAGCACGTCATATTAAGATATCTTCAATACGCTATAAAGGTATCAAAGTAAGAAAGAGAGTCAAAGTCACAAACACCAAAGACAACGACTTCGGTAAACATATTGCAATTCACACTTACCATAACTTCATCTAGTAGCCATAATAAAATAAAATTAATAAAAGGAAATAAAGTTGTCGTCAGATAAATTGCAAGATTATTCAGAGAATATTTTACCTGCAATTTACATCTTAAACCTCGTTGCACTACCCGATTTCCACACTGCATGTCACATCCACATTTTCTCCAGCATTCCTTGATAAATTTCCTAACCAAATGCCCCTTGCATGGTTCGGGCATGGTGTCATTCCTAGACCTCTCTAGTGGACATTCTTGACAATACACAAAATGATCTTCTTGAGGTTCCATTTTCATAGACATGCAAACTGCTAAAAACTCTTCTTTCAACAAACCTTCTGTAGTGTAAGCAAACTCTCCACCTGTCTCTTGAGAACATGCACAAGGAAATGATAAGGAAAGACAGTCGCCGGAACAATCAGCACAGCAACCATCATCCGCAACACGAGCAAATGAAATATTTACATTAGCACTTTGATATATTATATTATATGGTATGTAATTGAACTTTGGTAAGTCCTCACTTCCAGTTTCGTCTAATAATGATATTTTAACATTCTCTGAACCTTTGGATATGTCAGTGAGAAAATGAAAGGAATTCTTTTCGTCGTTAGCAACAGCTTGCTGTGGCAGACATGTCGCGTTATGTGAATTGCCATACTGAGGATTTAAATTCAAGCCCATCTTCAAATAAATTTCACACAAATCGTCTAATAGCTTCACCATAGATGATTTGGGCTCAACAGTCTTGTAAGAGCTCAGGTATTTCTCCTCTAGGGACTTCATAACAGCATCCAAATCAGGAATACGGAAGTTTGGTTGTCCCAAGGCTGCATCACGGTTTAAAGAAATTTTAACTTCTCCTAAAGATGTAGAAGCAATATCAATATTACCCTTATAAGTCCTGGTGTTATTATTGCATGCTGGGCTATCATCTATCTTGTGCATATTCTGATACAGAGCTGACATAGATTTGGCACGAAGATTTCCTTTTAAAGCATTGGATGAGCCTACAGAATTTGAGCAACAAATTCACTAAACATCAATTATATCAAAAAACTTATGAACCAAAGTTCGTGTGTACAACAACATATACTTTTCTAATGCAGTGTAGCAAATATATGGAGAATAAAGAGGCAATTGTAAATAGGTAGAATATAAGCCCGTTATGGTGTACAAGACATCTATAATAGCTCCTTTTTCCGACTTTTTTTTAATTTCTGCAAAAATATAGGAAGATTATTATTACAAATCAATAGCTTTCAAGATCTCCCCTCAGCTTTTATAAAGAAGAGAAAGAAGATAGAAGGGAGACCTTTCTGGACTCAAATTGAAAGAAAGTTGGATCTTTATTGATGTAAAAACAAACTCAAAATAAAACAAAAATGTGAAAGATGTATGATTGGAAAGACTGTCATAATTTACCATTGTAACTTATGGAACTAGGTCCAAGATGTAATTTGGGTTTCTCAGTTCTTGGTGTCATAAGCTCCTTCTGATACAGAACATTTGATATATTTTTCCTCTTGACATGAGAATTGCCAGCTTCATTAATTGGATCTTCACAATGCCCTGCAGATGATGCTTTCTCAGGATAATATTTTCTATCTCTAGCAGCCATGGAAGGTAAACTTGAGAACCTTTCTTCATCACTCAAAGTTGTCTGCAATACTTTTGAACTGGTGGTGGGCTTCATATCTCTTGTGGAAGTTTGAGATGGTTTAATGTTTTCCTGTTTAAAAGTCTGGGGAGGTATTTCAGTGTCTTCTATAGACAATACTTGTCTTGAATTGTCAGTTGATGAAACCTGGTCATCTGCGTCTAGCAAGTGCAGTTTTTGTTTCGGTCTTTCCCCATTATGATAACTGATTGGAGCTTTTCTCTTACCTTCGGCTTTCTGTTAGAAAAAATTTACAAGTTTTCAACAAAATATACAAAAGTAAAAACAAAAAATCAAAGGGAAAGAAGATCAACTAAGATTGAAATGAAGCTATCACAAATACTAAATAACATAATGACACTCACTTCATTTGTAAATTATCATCTACCCTATGGAGATAAGGACAAAAGAAGAAGCAGGTCAACAAGTATTGAAAAATTTACAATTAAAAGGACAATTGATCAAATCAATGTTTAAATATATAAATAAGCAAAAGATGTTGAGAGAAACCTTATCTTCTTTTAACTCAAAGTATGCGTCTATAAGCGTCCGATAATTGTCTTCTTCAATAAGTTCCCACTTTTTGTCGTACAATTTTAACAATTTTTTCAACACTGGTTTCACCTCTTCATCAGAAACTCCTAAGGGCCTCATAGCATTATAAGCCTTAATAACTCTTGGATGAGGAGTCATGATAGTTCCAAAAGTAATTGACATGCAATATATTGAACACTAACGCAGAAGTCACTAGTATGCCAAGACTTTGGTGCTCCTCGAAATGGCCTTTTAATAAAACTCACAATAAACTTTAACTTTATATGCCCCAGAAATTAACCTTGTTTCCTGCATATAAAAATGGGATCAAGTGAAACACATTCGAGAGGTTCAACGCATTGAGAAACAAATATAATATTATCATTACCGTTGAAGGGGACTTTGTACAAAAATAAAAACAAGGGAAAACATCGATCTAATGGACAAGAATTAGTGCCTAATGCAAGATGTCAATTGACACCTTCAAAATTGTATATATATGATATCAAACAAAATGCAAATATAAGGTTTTATTACAGTGAATTGACAAATTTAGCAAATTTCCTTACATATAACGCAGGCATAACAATTAATATGAAAATTTAAAAGAAAATACATCCTTTCTTTTTGTTTTAAGTAACAGTTTGGGAGAAGGAGAGGCCACCACTTTCCAAAGCATGGGCATGCCAAAAGTTCCAATGAACCCACACGAAATCCAAATTCAATATTATTTAAACAACTAAAATTATCACTGCCTGCAACATAATACAATATTTTTTTATTTTTATTTTTTATGTTTCTGTATATAGATGTCCGCAAAATGCATCATTTCACCACAACTTAAGCACAAGCAAGTCCACAAAAAATGCAATATTTTGTGGTTTTTTTTTTATGTTTGCTGTGGAACCAAACATCATCATCCTACCCATAGTATTTTTACCACACTCTCTCCTCTCTCTCCCTCCCCAACGAGGAGGTTCACCTCATCTGTAACTGTAAATTCTTCCGGCTTTTAAACAGTAACAGCCGAGCACTGTATGCTGTTATTATAACCGTAAAGTGCTTTATTTGAAACTGCCTCTAACGGTTACAAAAATGAAGAAATGAATTTGATTCAAACCATCATTTGTACGCAACTTCACGGGAAAAGGGTGGACGAACCATTTTTCGTTAATACTTCAAAGTCAGGATAAATGAATAACTCATGTTTCTCAAAGATGCCAATCACCAATTACTTCAATCATGATATTTCTAAATTGTCAGTCTCTAAAAGTCATTTACTTTTATTTTTTATTCTTCGCCAATTTTGCTCTAATAATAAATAATTTATATTATAATAAAATTAACATTTTTAATAAAGGAATTCTTATATTAGTACACCGTTGTAAATCTAAAATTTCTTATATTTAATTTGAGTCTTTTATTTAATTTAAATCTAACGGTAAGTGAAATAATAAATTATAATTCAATAGATTTAAGTTAAATGAAATACTTAGATTTAAGGTAAATTGTAAGTACACTAGTATAAGAGTGAGTGTATAGACTTACACAGGTGTAAGAAGATCTCACGCCTTCTAACAATTTTTAATACACAATTTATACTCTATACCTTATATATCAAAATATTAACATTTGAATCAATCTTCATTAACAAAAAGCCATTTCCTTTAACTTATTTTTAATTTTATTAATGTTGAAGATTAAAATAACTGAATTTTTATACTTTTAAAATAAAATAAAATAATTAATACTTATATCTTATAAATATACTTTTCAGTTTCATTTGATTTTTAAAATTTCAGAAGAATATAAAAGTAATTAATAATGAGATAATTTAAGTCAAAGTAAAATATAAAAATAATTATTAAATAATAATTATAAAAAGTTAAAAATAACAAATAAATGTTTAAATTTTATTTAAAAATATATTATTCAATAGATATTTGATACGATATTGTAAATTTTAAAGAATATTATATATTTTAGATTGTAATTCTTCTAATATCTTAAAGATTAGAGGATATTAACATATTTTTTAATTAAAAAACTAATCTCACTATCCAGTAACATAAAATAATAGTAACGATTGTTTTATGTATAAGAAAGAGTATAAAATCCTTTCCATTATAAAGGATACAAGGAGATTTTATCTATTTAAAATTTTTTCATTTTATGTAAATATTACATGTAGAATTTACAATATCCAACTAATTAAGAGAGTTTGATATCTTCTCTCACATGTAAAACAATTCTAATTATTAATTTTATATTGATAGATAATGAAATTAGTAGTTCAAGTAAAAAAGATGTTGTACCTTTTTTATTTTTAAAGTATTAGAAGAATTACAACCATCAATTTAAAAAAATATAGAATACTCTCTAAGATCACGATATCACCAATATTATATTGTACACTTAAAATTTTAAAATATTTTTAAAATACTTTTTTACTGTTTAAATACATATAATCTAATAACTTATATTTACTTTATTTTAAATATAAATAAATATTTAAATCTTTTTTAAAGATATATTATTTAATATGTGCTTGATACGATATCCGTAGACTTGAAATGATATTATATCTTCTAATATTTTAAAGATTAGAGAATATTAATATATTTTTAACTAAAAAATTAACTTTACTATCTATCAATATAAAATTAATAGTGATAATTATTTTATGTATAAGAAAGAATATTAAATACTTTCCATTATAAAGAATAAATGAAATTTTACTTGTTTACATTTTTTTTATTTGATGTAAACATTATAAGTAAAATCTAATGTATCTGATTAATTGAGAGGGTTTAATATTTTCTCTCACATGTGAAACACAATTCTAAGAGTTAATTTTATATTGACAGATAATTAAATTAATGTTTTAAACAAAAATGATATTAATACTTTTTTATTTTTAAAATATTAGAAAAATCATTACTATCAATCTAAAGAAAGTATAAAATACTCTCTTAAGTTTACTGTAGAATTATCAAAGTAACATTAGTATTGTATTATATACTTAAAATTTTAAAATATATTAGAAATACTTTTTTATTGTTTAAATACATATAATCTAATAACTTATAATTACTTTAGCTTACTGAAACATAATTTCATCTATTTATCTCACCAAATTTCTGTAAATAATTTCAAACCTAAAAATAAAATAATAAATGTGCATACAATATAATTCCTCTTATCCCATCAGTTTATATTACTAGTTTAGAAATATTATACATCTCTCAGTTCAAAAATGTTAATTTGTCACATTCTCTCCAAAAACTCTCCATGTGTAGTTTATCTCCCAAACAGTCAAAAAGCTTAAAGAACTATAAAAGAAACTACAATAAACAAAAATGAAAGAGATTCTGCATACCCAGGAGAAAATGGAGGCAGTTAACACAGGAGAATGTAAGGAAGGAAATAGAAACCTTACATTAATCTCTCTAGAACCTTCAAGCAAGTTATCCTTCTCTTGAACAACACGAAACTTTACGGAAAAAATAAAACGCATTTGATCATGCAAACATGGCAGGGGAAAAGATGCAGAGACGAAACTCCTAAACCCTGAGAGGCTAAGATGAGAATGTGTTTGGCTGTCAAGAAATTCTATCGTAAAATTAGGGACAATGTGCGCATGACTGCGCCAATATATGCAGGGTAGCCGAAGAGTTGCCGAATCTTTTGGGTCGGGTTTGTTACGGGATAGAGCTATACAGTAAGGTGGGTTACACGCATCTGTCATGTATCGGGTGACGTGTTGCACTTTTATTGGGTGGAATTTTACAGCTATTGGCTTCTCCATAGATTGACCTGCAACTTTCAACATGCCTAGATTATAAATATTTTGCAGACGAGATGACGAGTCATTGGTGAGTTTTTATCGAAAACAATGAAATGGTTATGAATTTCTGTTGTTGCATGAACATTCAATAGATGTAATTAAATAATGGTTTTTTATCCTGCAATTAATAATGATAATAAATTTTTTATTAAAAATTATAATGTTTATTATTAATGTTATACTATATTTTATAACATTACTTTAGTTTTAATAAAAATATTTTTTTTTATCATACATCCTATTAACTTTTAATAAAAATTTAATACATAAACTTTTTATCATGTACAATGCTGCACAAATTAAAAAATTAATATTAAAAAATATAATTAAAAGTAAAACATAAGTATTCATAACTTCAAAAGACCCAAGCAACCTGTATGTAACAACGAGAGTACGTCTGGGAATTGAATTTTAAACAAAAATAAATAAAAATAAAATTAAAAAAATTAATGAATTGTATTATATATTTTTTATTTTTATAAATTTTATATAATTCTTAGTTATATTTTCTTAAAATGACAGATATAATTTCTCTAATATATTAAAGATAAAAAATATTTAATTTTTTAAAAATTACTATATCTTCTTTAAATTAATGATTGTGATTCCTATAATATTTTATACATAAAAAAAATATTTATATTTTTCAAAATAAATTACAAAATTTATTTTCTATTAATACAAAATTAACGATGATAATTATTTTACGAATAAATAAGTATAAAATGTCTTATTAATAAAAATTAGTTCTTAATTATATATATAATAAATGTAATAAATTAAAATGTATTTTTAAATTAATCTCAAACATACATTTATATTTAAATAGTTTTAATTAAAAAAAGTGTTAAAAATAACTTTTCGTTCTAAAGCAAATAAGGTTTTATAGACTTAAATATATTTTAACTATTTTTAAATAGGGTTTATTTCAAATTATTATCTATTAAATTTTTTTATTTTAATGTGAAACTATTTTTTTTTAATTTTGTACCTGACTTAGCTCATAGTTTACCATGTCACTCCCAATCTCTTTCCTTTATTTCACTCTTAAATTTTCATATCACGAATCCACATCAATATTTTATTTTTAAAAAAATAAAAGAATTAAGATTCAAACATGCAAATTTCATGAATTAGGTTCCTGCAAACCAAATACAAACATTACGCGCTTGAATCTTAATTTTTTTATTTTTAAAATTTTTAAAAATTAGAATATTGATGTGAATTTGCGACGTAAAAATTTAAGGGTCAGGTATAAAAGAAAGATTAAGTAATGTGGCAAATTGTGAGTCACATAAGTTAATGTCAGGTACAGAATTGAATAAAATTAATTAAACATTAAAATAAAAAAATTAATAGATAATAATTTGAAATAAATTCTATTTAGCGGTAATTAAAACATATTTAAGCCTACTTATTATTAGCTCAACATTTTTTCTCCATGATTTTGTTTATTTTTAATGCACATTAACAATAGTATATGAAGTATCCCTTATTTTACATTGATAATTTTAAATAAATTTTAAATATATATATGAAATGAAAATTTTAAAAAATATATTTAACTTTATAAAAAGTATGCATAATTAATGTAAAAATTTAAATATCTACGTTTAAAAACAAAGATAAAATCTCTTATTTAAAGTAACCATATAACCAGATCATATCTCATATTTGAAGTAACCATGCAACCAAATCTTCAGCATTGTCCCTTTAAGTATCCACTTGCTCTGCTCTATCTATGATTTGGCACCATCTTTTAAGATCTCAATAACGTATAGATGGATCATAGTCCAAATCTATCAAGATTCCCACAAAGATGAACCATGAATCAAAATGAATCACAAAAATAATAAAAAGATGGATAATAACAGTTGGATCAAATCATGATCCATAAAATTCATATGAAGCTGAATTATGGATCAAATCAAATTGTAGTTCTGCAAGAGGTTAG